ACAATACATCCTGCTGCTGCCATCTGATGGCACAGTCCTGCTATTCCAGTGTCTTCCTTTCCAATCCCTGTTTATTGCCATCTGGTGGACAAAATCATAAAGTTATGAATATTTGAAAGTATTTCAAAGCCTCCCTTTCTATCTGTCTTTGGCTGGATCTAAGCTTTCATGGTTTGGACTGCATTTGATGGTCAGTGTAGACCCATATGATGCAGTTCAAACTACATTACATGGTAGTGTAGATTCAGCATTTGGAAGAAAATATGCAATTCACACCAGCCCACTTTCCAAATTCCTTTAATCCTCCCCAGCCCCAAGTTTAATGGGTTTGCACCCAACTACGTGGTCCTTAAATCCTTCAAGGATGTTCTACAGGTTGTATTTTTGCATTATGATGACCTTCTTTAGCTTTACTCTATTTTTTTAAATTTTATATTTTACTAGCTGTCCCCTGCCATGCGTTCCTGTGGCCCAGTCTGTTGATCTGGAAAATAAAATAATGAGAAAATGTTGGTTTCTAATATATGTAATTTCTTTATGTTTGTGGGTAAACGGTATTTCTTGCTGCTTCTTTGTCAGTGTCTGGTTTGCCCACCCTGGAACATGGGTCCCTTTCATCTATGATACTATATCTGTGTGTGTATGAATTATATAGGAGCCCCTGGTGGCACAGTGGATTAAAGCACTGAGCTGCTGAGCTTGTTGACCAAAAGGTTGCAGGTCCGATTCTGGGGAGCGGCTGTCAGCCCTAGCTTCTGCCAACCTAGCAGTTTGAAAACATGTAAATGTGAGTAGATCAATAGGTACCGCTCCGGCGGGAAAGTAACGGCGCTCCATGCAGTCATGCTGGCCACATGACCTTGGAAGTGTCTACGGACAACGCCAGCTCTTCGGCTTAGAAATGGAGATGTGCACCACACCCCAGAGTCAGACACGACTGGACTAAATGTCAGGGGACTACCTTTACCTTACTATGAATTCTATCTATCTATCTATCTATCTATCTATCTATCTATCTATCTATATCTATATCTATATCTATATCTATGGCTGGATGGCTATTTGTCAGGAGGGCTTTGATTAAGTTTCCTTGCCCTGATGAAGGGAGTTGGATTGGATGGCCTTAAGTATTTTCTGTTATTCATGGGGGTTCAGTGTGGGAAGTTTGCCCCGAT